AAATAGCTAATGTTTTTGACAGTTCCTTTTTCAATTTATTGAGTTACCCCATAAGAGATATCACTTAGCCAGTGCCAAAGTCAAAGCAGGGATCAGGGTATCATTAGTGACACTCATATGCCCTATTTATTTGTTGAAGGCACGTAATCTGGTATCTCTCTGTGAACCAGACACAAAACCACGTTCGATTAGGCACATTCATTAAGTCAGTTTGCCAAAAGGCTTATGTATTGGATATTGTACATGTGCAAACAATATAACAGCAGTTATTGCAAGATTGCTTGGGTGATGGGGACATTATTGCCTAATGGAAATTTCTCTTGTAGGAAAATCCTCTGGTTTATGTCTGTTTAAACTTGCCATGCTTTATTTTCAGCTTGTCATTATGGCTGGCACTGTTCTGCTTGCATACTACTTTGAGTGTACGGATACCTTTCAAGTGCACATTCAAGGCTTCTTCTGCCAAGATGGAAATCTAATGAAACCATACCCAGGGAGTGAGGATGAAAGTTTCATATCCCCTCTGGTGCTCTACTGTGTGCTGGCTGCAACACCAACAGCTATTGTAAGTAGTTTGTGCACAAAGAATTCTTAATTATTTATGTGACACATTGAGCTTTTGTTTTTTTTAATGTATATAATGTAACAGAGAACGTATATAATATTTTGAATGTTAAATAAGAATGATTTTTGAGCACACAGTACAAAAAATATAGTTGGTAATTGTTGCAATGGGTTACTGTGCTTTGATTTCCTCTAATAAGCTTATATTAACACATTTACTTCTCAGAGTATATTGCACTATATGAGTCATACAATGCGGTATATACACTGCATCGTAAGTGTTAGGTTAAGTTAGTTTATTCATTTATAATTACATTTTACCCAGAAGCTGTTTCAGGCAAAGATACATTAAAATGTTTACTTATTAATGCTTGATTTACTAATGGTTGTCAGGTCAGTGATCTACCAGTAAAATTAGAGGACATTAAAAAGGAAATCCAGTGTAATTTAAGTTTTTCCTTTTCACATATACATATAGATGTAATCAGCTTTAAGCATATGTTAAAACATAAAAAAAAAGTTTTCTATTATATATTATAAATGGATAAGCAGAAACTTTTCAGTTCTTGTATTACCAATGTAGAAGGGGTACTGTGCTGGTATTTACATATGTACAAACTACTGAAAGGTGAGGATTAAGTGTGCAGTATTAAGTGCATGAAAAAACTCCTTAGTCTAGGGCTTGAGCTGTGAGTTCATCAGTCCACAAGAATGAATGAAGATGGGGAGGTTTGCAGGGTAAGAGGTTTTGTGCATTAGTTTGCAGGGGGATCTTAGAGCAGCATTCCAGCAGCATTTTATGCATTGAAGTACACTGCATCAAGTAGCTAGCCCATTCAAATGGCTATTGGCTTCATTATAGTGTCGGCTGCAGAAAAGAGCAGAGCGTCTAATCATTTGGCATCCCATTGCCATTCCACACTGGTGCCCAGCAGCTGGTGGACCCTGCCCCGAACACGGCTGATCACACAGAAAAAGTTTGTGGCATGCATGCAACCTTCGGGCACCAGGGCTCTAGAGAAGGAATTTATGAATCTGCATTTAAAATACAAATATGTAATATGTGAAAGACATTTCATAAAATATATTCAAGCAAATGGTATAATAATAGGGTAATAACTCACTAAAAATATTTCATTGATTTTAAATAATGGACAAAAAAAGTTATAATTCCATTTACTGTTGGAAATTAGTGGACGTTTTCTGTTTTTTTTTTAAAACTTGTGTACATCAGGTTTTGTTTGCTTTTTTCCCATACAAGTTAGAATGCAAACACAACTAGATTCAGTTTAGGAGTTCAGAAGCACCTGTGAAGGAACAGGGAAGGATCTCAGAATGACCCATTTACATCTTTGCTGTGAATTATTGGATGCATGTTAACACACGCTGATGTGTGTTGCGCTAATGCAGCTCATTCAAAATGAATGGGCTGCCAATGCACCATATCGTGCCTTAAACTGCATGTTGGTATTTTTTTCTAATGCAATACACTACCAAGTGTTACCATGCATTGTGGTATACTACAACGCAGGTGCATTGCTTTGCTGGATTGCAGTGCAGTTTGTTTTAAACGTCACCCCAATGGATGTTGCAGTAATGCACACCTTACCACAACACAGAATTGTGAATGGGCCCAAATTGTTATCAACTAAGACATACATTGGGCATTTTTGTGTTTCCAATGTTTACTCTAGGAACTTATTAGCAGTGCAATCAATAAAATAATTGCCAAAAGAAACTAAGGTAGACTGTCAATACCTAGTCAATATGTTATTAATGAGTTAACAACGAATGTCAATATCACTTGGCAAAATATAGATCATTCATAGCTGTTTCTATTAGCAAACTGTAAATGCATTTTGATTTTTGTGTAGATACTGCTTGTTTAAAATTATTATTTTGCTTCCACTTGGGTTAACTTTTGACACCTCTATTGTAAGGATTAATAAACCGTGATGTTCTCATAAATAAAATATATTTATTATTGATTATTAAGTGAAGATAAATCAAATGTATTATGAAATTTAGCAGTTCGTATAAAATCTGACATTTCTTAGTATATATTGGTTCAAGCACTGATCCATTACTCATTATTGTAAGATAGTGACAATTATCCTTCAAATTGTCAGTATTCTAAATTTAAACTGTGAAATAGATCATTCCCAGACTTTAGCCTTTCCTGTCCAGACCTTTTTTTCCCCCAGTTTTCAGTGCTGTGATTGCTGTGATAGTTTGACTAATACATATTCAGACATGCAACACTGTACCCAAATGAATTCCTTGTCTTTATTTTAGACCAGGGATGTTCAAACTCCGGCCCTCCAGCTGTGGTGAAACTACAAATCTCATGAAGCATCTCTCTCCGGGAGTCATGTCTGTGGCTGTGAGAATCTTGCAAAGCCTCATGGGATTCGTAGTTCCACCACAGCTGCAGGGCCGCAGTTTGGACATCCCTGTTTTAGACCAATATAATTTTCCATTCCATTCCTGAAAATTTAGAGAATTTTTTTTCCCTTTCTCTGTGTTTGATCTCATTTTTGCCACACATAATGTATAGGTCATACAAAGAGGGAGGAGTAGGTGAAGGCATGAATGTACATGTCACATAAAATGGTAGGCTAGAGATGAGAAGGTCAATGTGCAGGATAAGGGAGATGAAAGTGTTCATGTACAGGTCACATACAGAGACAAGATGGAGTGAAGAGGATGGGGGGGTTAATATGATAACAAAAACAATCCCACAATCAAGTTAATTAAAACTTGCTGCTGGTTACTTCACTTCCTACAACCCCTTCCTTCAATCCTCCTTCCTACACTATCTACCTATTGAAAGGAAAGGGAAAGTCCTCAAATGTTTACACTTGTGTTTGCTGGCCATCCTGAAATTACAACGTTGAGTAATTTTCTTTATTTAAAAAACTTAGGGGTTGATTTACTAAAGGCAAATAGGCTGTTCACTTTGCACTTGGTAAATGTGATCAGATTTCACTTTCCAAAGAGTATCCAATCATGTGCAAGTGCAAAATAAAAACAAAAACAATATGTTTGTGCGGCCATGATTTAATGATAAAAAATCAGCAGAACTTCACCACATTCACTAAACTAGGTAAAACATTGCCTTGCAAAGTGAACAGCCAATTTGCCTTTAGTAAATTAACCCCTTAAAGTCCTCTTAATTCAGGAGGATTCAAAAGTCATGTTTATTTGTCCACACTTATTTTGTGTTCTGCTAGTTCAAGCACACATACACAGCACATGCTTCAGTATAACTATATAGCATGAATGTTAGCACTTTCATTTGCTGTTTACTTTTTGTAATACAGTAATACACTAATTATAGTTTTTATATATATATATATATATATATATATATATA